TATTCATGTCTTTCCGTACCCGTGCAGGGCCCACCGATGGTATACTTGCTCCTCAACGATGGACAGAGTGTTTTACATAAGTGCTCGTAGGTTCTTCAACAGTCTTCGTACTTTTCGCGATGAGAGTCTCTCGCCTGTTCCCGGTGCATAATACGACGGCTAATAATGTGGCATTGATGATCGAGATAGAGTGACGAGATTCACTTCCTTTTAACGCGTGCAGAAAGCACGATAGTTTGATTAGAATATCACTATAACTGTCACAAATAAATACAAATCTCAATCGCACAGATAATGATTAAATAATACTACGAAACCCACTAGTGTAATTACGAATCACTTAAAAATGTATGGGCAATTGTCGAGACACCAAACAGGTCACGTATGAAACTATCGAATTTTCTGTAAAATATGTCTGACTTTTCTTGGAAGCAGTTGTGGAAGCCAACTGTTGCGTGATAAACACGATACTAGTGAAGAAGTAAGGAGTATGCGATATACAGGTTATAAATATGTAATATATTATAAACAGGTTAATAATGTTCTGTAGAGAATAACGAGCTGTATGGATCAGTGCATTCAAAAATATACAATTAATTCCATTTAAAAACATAAACTTGGCCTTCGTGTGTCCCCTACGCCGCCACCAGCAAAGAAACTATTGACACCAAATTAAATCCCCTCGATACGACTTAATTTTTGTTTCAATCACTTTCCGATATCACAAATAATTTCCGAGATATTCGTGTGGATTGATTTAAATGGAACACCCTGTATACGTCTAGCGAATAAAAATTCTTAGAAAATCCGCTCGACCTGATCCGTTCTATAAAGAAATCGTTCGTCGTCGTCACGACGCCCGAGTTACACAACCCGGATTTTTCGCCGTTCCTTTTCTTCGAACCTCGCCGTCCCCCGCTTTTTTTTCCTTGCCCCCGTCTTGGAAACTTGAACGGAGCACCTGGTACGGTATCGGTTTAACGCTGGAACCCCGTAAAATATTCTGAAATATTCCTGAGGATCCGAGGCGCGCGTAAAAGGCCGAAAGAGAAGAATACGACAGACCCAAAAAAGAGAGAAGAAACCGAGACGAGGGGGCGTGTGGGTGGGGGATGAAAGAACAGGGTCGAAGGAAATTGCACGGAGAAAAATATGAGACTGGAAATTCGGAACGATTGAAATTTCGACGATGGTACCAGACACGCGGCCCGCTGACAGTGGAACTTTTTTTGAAACAGTTCTCGGCTTACACGGCTAGCTTCGAAGGACTTTCAAAGCTGATTGCAAGTGGAATCTCAGTTTTCATCGGTTAGAACATTCTATGGGTGTAGATTATGTGGAATATTATTTGATCTCACGTCGAATCGATATTAAATGCTGGAATAATGGATCGTCGCGAAGAGGATCGTGGACGATCGACGAAACGATATTTCGGAAGGTATCGAGCGCAGCTAACCGAATACTTTCTCGGAGTTTCGGGACACTTAACGTGATTCATCGACTCAAAGAATCTCGCCAACGATCCACGGAGAGAGAAATATAAGAGGACGAGCGAAAGAACCGGATGGGGGAGAAAGGATCCTGGCAGACGGTGAGAGAAGGCACCTCTCCCCTGGCAATTTGTCTAAAAGTTCAGGAAGGTAGAAGGAAAATTAGCGAGAGCTGTGGCCCGGCTATTTGTTATCAAGGTGGCAATAATGCTTCCTGCTCCCGGCTGCTGGCTCGTGGAAGTTTTAGTCTCGGTGATAATTAAACTTAATAGCGGTACGCGGATCCAACGAAACCGCAAAAATTCGCCGACAAACGGGAGGGCATTTACAGTTTGTGGGGTAAGAAACGGTGGAATTTCTTCAAGTGGTGTTTGTTTGCTGTGTCTGATTCGATTTCGAACTACGGATACTTATACAGACTAGTTGTTCACGGCACAATTCTCAGTACACAACTTTTTCGATTAATTAGCCACTTTTATCTAATGTATTCACTAATTTTTAGAGTTTTAAGTTCGATTATAATCTTACATTTCATTCGACTGACTTCCATAGCTTGTGCTTTCAATTTTTGCAACCATCTATAGAAAGCTATGCACGTTATTTAATATCAATCTGCCAGAAAGGTTGGACCAGCTGAATGGAATATCTTTAGGATCGGAGCATTATTAAGGCCGTTGAATTGGATTTCTCCCGCTCTATACAGATATGGGAAAAAATATTAGGTTCTCTTTCAAGTGTTGATGTTAAAGTACTGATAGTAGTTCCTATTGACTCACCCTGTATATTTCATTATCACGACAATTCGTAAATGCTCTTTGTTCCAAAAATTCTTCAACGTCTCTTCGAAATACGGACGGAAGAACGACAAGAACTTACCGATATACATGATGTCTGACGTCACCAAGCCCTATCGATTAATTTATTTTTACCAATTCTATCTGCAGCACGCGTGACTCATGAAAATTAGGTGACCCCGTGAGTTTCCGGGGCGACAGCGTGGTGCTTGCCTGTGAAATTTCACCCGTGTCCCCGGAAAATTTTGCCAACGTGTGCGGATCAGCCCGCAGGCGTTTTCCCCCGCTGTGACACCGCATAACGGGTTACGTGGACACCCTCCAGTCGAAACGAACAAGTTCCAGGTCGAGGGTGCACTGCGTTTCACCGAACCTCGACAATTTTTCCTGCCATTCTCTCCCTCAAGGACGGCATTAACGTGCGTTCTGGAAGTGCGGTGATCACGGTAGCCCGCCGATTTCCGGGTCATTTTTTCATCTCGTCTGATTTTGTTGTATAAATCAGTGTACCTCGGCTGTGCGTCGACTATCCCCAACGATATTTTTATTTTAAAGCGCGGTCCGATGTTTCGTCATCTAGTGGAAGCGATAAAACCATGTCAGCTGTCCGGGGTTTTATCTTCGTTAGACAGTTGACTTTTTTTTTTCTAAATGGCAGCTATTATATATTGGACGTGACGGTAGATCAAATGTGCATAAGTGTTTAATCATCGATATGTAGTTAATGTGTATTAATAAGAAAGGTTGATAGAAATGGATCTTTAAATGGAATATAATTTTCTTCTGTTATAACAAATATCATTGGTTACAGAATTCCAAGCTCTATCACTGTGCTAAACCTCGTAGAAAGTCAGTGTTACACCTGTGAACCTCTTTGAACAGTTATCGAGGATTTATTATATTTCAGTGACGTGTCAGTCGAAGTGTTAATCTCGTTATAATAGCGACATCATCATTTTTATTGGATCGTGAAGTTATAACGGAATACAATATTCGAATATTATTGTAATATTTGTAATGTCAGGGTATTAAAAATTAGGTGAAAGTTTAATTCGTTAAGAATGTATTTTTAGAAAGTGTACGATAGCTTTGCCTGCAAGGTACCTCACTGAATAATCACCGATGCATTTAAAGTAAATCCGTACGAGCGTATCGAGTCGCGAGCGGACGTCAGCGCAAAGCATTCACGGAGATTGAATTTATAAGACGAAAGGAGCAATTTCGAAAATAGATTGAAACTTTCGAGGCGATCGAGTCGGAGGAGCCAGGCCGTGTGTATCACGGCAATCTATTGAACAACATTAGATGAAACTTTGCTTTGCCCCGTGTTCCACTTTGATGTTTGTTCTTGCCCGAGTTGTTGCGTCGGAACTGTTCGTTTTCGCCGAGACAATCGGTTGTAACGCGTTTCTTTCGTCGACCGACACTTTCGACACAGCTACAACATTTTGTCGAATTAGACAATATCCAGGCGATAAACTTCAGGAGAAAAATATCAGATGAAATTGTGGAACCTCTTTCTCAAGAACATCTAAGTTGAAAAATAGCTATCTATCTGAAATGTCTGACAACTACACACTGTTTCTACTCATAACGGTATAGGGTCATTTTCATTTATCTTGTATGAGTTTATGCCAAACTATCCCTGGTCAATAAGTAAGAACAACCGTTGGTAAGTATTTCGAAATATCGGATACAGTAGAGATGGTCGATGATGATCAGACACACATACACTGTGGATACCCTACTACAGTTCTGTTCTATACATATAATTCTGAATTCGATATATTTGAGAAGAAACACGTTAACAGAACAATATTTTGCTCTTCACTTGTCATTTATCTCCACGCATATACTAAGTTGGACGTCATGAAACGTTCAGGAAACACTCGATATATCCATATACATATCTATACGGATATTTAGTCCGTATTAATATCAATATGGAATTTTGACCTCAAGTTTTAAGATCCATATGGGTAGTTATATTATTTGGATGCACGGGAAGCACCCCTTTCCCTCGATTGCCCCGTGTGTGCCGTCTGGCGAACGGAAATTAAATGAAAATCCCTCAATTCGCTGCTTTGACGGGAAATGAAAATTGAACAGTCGCGTGTGGGGAGCTGGAGAGACAGAGAGAAAGAAAGAGGGATAGCCGGCTTATACGATACCGATATAGATATATATATATATATACATATAAAAAAACGAGAGAGAAAGAGCAATAGTGTGTACAGATGGAAACAGTGAAAAGCGGAATGCATATGGGTGAGCCTTCAGGATTTGCTATCGTTTCAATTTCTACGGAAAAATAAAAATTTTCGATCGTCGGTACCTCGACGTGAAAATATTATTCGATACGTTATTACATCGGAATCTTCGTCGTATTATTTCCATCGCCCAACAGGGGCGTCCGTTTAAACCGGATCCCTGCTATCGGTATTTTCATTTGCTCTTCGGGATCATGTTATTTTTTCCTTTTTTTTTCTGGCACGACCCAGTCGGATTCTCCGACTGTTCGATGGATCGATACGGGGAGCTGGAATAATCCTCGGTTGGAAAGGCAACTGCGAATCGGGGATCGGTGTTGTCGTTCGGCGCAAAAAAGAACCCGTCAAATTCACTATAGTTTCTCCGTGTTGGCATTCAGTTAATTTTTACGAATTCTGATTTCAATGATCGGTGACATTGAGTCGTGACGCGAAAAGATACTTACGGTTCCAGCACCAGGATCTTCGGTTTTGCAGGGTAAAGTGGCGGCACTTCCGCTCTGCGCGAGGACTTCCCTGACAGGACCCTCGATGGCATCGTCGCCTTTATCGTCGGAGCCCTTTAACGACACCACTTCGTTGTTGGTGTCTGAAGATCGCTGGCGTTCCGCCTGGTTCCCCGCTGAAAGAAAAATGGAGACCATACAATATTTGAAAGAGTGCACTTTATTGCGGTAACTGCGTAAACGTCGCACTCTGTTTGTTCTCCTTTTACGAACATCAGAGCTTCTTAAAAATGTAGCGAAAGATTTAGGTTCAAGTCATTTATTAATTAGACACGGACATATTATATACAGAGTGTCTCAGGTCGGGTAGTATAAATGGAGAGAGGTGATTTTATTAAAAAAGACGAAAAAAAGAATACATTTTTTCGTGTGAGGTTTTGTCCTCGGGAAAATTGTCCGTGTATCCAACAAACTAAGTTCGATTATCTCGAAAACGAAACATTGCCCGAAAAAATTTTCTTCTTTTTTCTCGACTAATTTTTCTTATAGAATCACCTATTGTCCAGTTGTATATACTAGTCGATCTGAGACATATTTCATATCATCGTCCCGAAGTTTTCTATTAGCTCGGTGGAATTTCCGTGAAAATCCAAAGCCCTAAAGAGCGGTCGTAGACTCGGTCACGGGGAAAGCTTGCCGGGGCTTTAGGGCGTAAGCGCGACCACGATCGGAGATTAAGGACGATTCCCGCGGCACTTGGTCGACGAAAGGGCACAATAATATCCGTGGTAGGGGTCCTGGAAGCAATGGGCCAGACAGGATTTCTCTCCCCTGCCGCGAGAGATTAATGCAGACACGCCGTCCCAACGATAACGCATATCCCCGACTGCGGCGTAAGTGGCTTAAATGAATAACTTAGTCACGACAATTACGCGGCTTTGCCGTTGCGTTCGCCGTGCCCAAGCTGCTACAAATCTACTAGGCTCACGTGGGAATTCACTTCAAAAACACTTAACCATCCCGTGCGTTACCTATGCACCCTCCATTTCCAGCCACGACCGTGGGGGCTGCAATTCCGTTTACAACTGGTATGCGCATATTCTTCTGTGGAAATGTGGGCTACCATCGGTTTCATCGAATACGAGTATTCGAAATGTTAATAATAATTGTGGGTGTTAATATCGACTGAGCGAGTGGATAGAAGACAGAGTATCGAGATTCAGATATTCAGGCTCTTCTTGATTAACCCTTGAACGTATACACACCGTTTCGATGCGAATATTTATTTTTGCAGAAACTGCTTTATTATAATAGTTGCATTATAAGGTTATTTAATGTATTATGTATTAAAGTTTTATTTGTTTTTTCGTTATTGTAAAAACGCGCCTATCTATCACCCTAAAGATGTTAGAATAATTACAACTTCTAGAGTTCAGTGGGATATTCCAATATCCCTTGTATGCGTTCTAGGGTTAATTCAGACTAGTAATCGAATAAACTACGTGCAGTAATTTGATCGAAATTATAGCTGATGAAACAAAAACAAATGTAAAATCCGTCTCAACACCACCCAGACCAGACACGAGAACAAAGACACCCCCTGCAACTGTGCCATTAATCTCGAAATCCCCCATTCCCTTCCCTGAACACCGAACACCTCGTTCGTTACTTCCATCCTGTTCCCCGACATTCTCAACCGTGAGACAAGGTGCTCGCGTACACGCGGCAACCATTCCCGTCGAATAATAAGATTCCCGTGTGTGTGGACGCATTACGCGATTCCTGGACCGTGTGTGTGTCGTGTATAACGAGGGTCTATTTAGCCCGAGCACTTGAAGCCCTGTACAGGATGAAAACGTCGGCAATTAGCTCTCGTTAGCCGGCTCGAGGCTCGTTCGACGGTTCGTTAAACCTGACCTGTTTCACCGTGCCCGTGGATCGTCCCGTTTCACGTGGAGGTAACCGAACGAACGTCCACGGACCAGAGAGGATCTCTCGCGACGCCCCGTTACCTGGCCCGGTGGGGAACACACGCGAGAAACCAGCGAAAACGACAGGATTGCACGCGACTATATGGATCGACCAGCCGAGAATTCTCCTCCAGGAGACGTTCTTTCCACCGACAGCAGTACGGCCTAGATACCGTCGGCGCAACCGGAAGCATTTCGCGATTTATTGCGTTTTTATTGGCAGCGCCAGGGCAGCATCGCCCACTATAATTTCCATCGACTTCTTCCGCTCCCCCGTCCACCTGCACCGTCGCTAATTGAAAAGTACACCGGGCGGACCACCGTCTCCCGACTCGGCTTACACGCGTCCCTTATCGATCCCCGTATTTACACGGGGCTTTCGTACACAAGAGAAGGTACGTTTCATTTCCCCCTTCGGCCGGGCGATCGTTCCGGGGGGACTTTGGATCGGTGATTGGTCTGTAGTTCGATTTATGGGAATCGCTCGAGGATATTGCGATCCGGCCGAGTGATACTTGGAAATACGCGTAGTGCATACGTGTCCCGTGGACATTGTCGTTTCGATACGTTGCAAACAACTTCGTTGTCTGTGAGGGTAACATAACTTAACCCCTTGCCCTATGATTTTCTTGATGTCTGCAGTCTCCAGAATTACTTTATCGTCAATAGTTCCCTAGAAACAAAAGGAATTCTTGTACTTATCGCAATTGTACATTTACTCTAAAATGTCAAATATTAATATCATCGAACTAGTATTTCACTTTGACTCAAAGAAAACGAATAATATTTACGTTTGTTGAATCCATTCTGACATCGTCACCACTGATGTGGTATATCGAGTCTGACTCGATGTTATAAGGCAAAGGGTTAATATAGTACAGACTCAATGAGAGTTGGAAATGAAATAAGGTTGGTTAACAATGGAACGTGAAAGGAAAAGCATGAAGCAGTTAGAAAAGCCCACTGACAAAGGGACCCACAAATCCCACACCGTAGAAGACAGAGAAGCCTCCCTCCTATTTCAACCTACACCACCGTGAAGCCAAATATGAAAACAGTCGAAAAGACATTGCTCCCCCCCCCCCATCCCCTGGAACGTTCCAACTTTCCATCAGGAAGCGCAGAGAGGAGTCGTTTCGCTGGCCGGGTTAGCCAGCCCCACTGAATAATTTCTATAACGTCAAAGTCGTTTCCGTCCTCCCACCCCCTGTCGATAGTGCTTAACGCCCGACGTGTATTTTACACACGGGGCTGCGACGTGTCCTCCGGCCGCGGTTACGAGCTCTCCTGGCCGCGGACGTAGCACCTTCTCGTTGGGCATTATCGTCTTTTTACGAGGTACACGGCGATAGCGAGGCCGGAAGTGGCGTGGGCGTGAACGCGCACGACGGCCTCGGCTGACTTTGTAGCCGCACGTGTGAACGGACAATGCGCGGCTGCCCGATAAACGGGGCGCTAACATCGTTCCCAACGGCTGCTATGTAACCACCATGCTAGGCAGTCACGCGGCATACAGGGTGGTCCACCAGAAGCCGAACACTTAAATATCCACTTGGATGTAGAGTTACGAAACTATGTTTCGGTACGGAGTTCAGCTGAGAGGAAATTTACTGTTTTTTTCGAATGCATTTTTTAGAGATAAGAATGTTAACGAATTGAAAAGAAAAATAAATTTCCTGTCATAGCATTGAGCCCATCAAATTGTGCAGGTCTGTAACGAAATCTACTTTCATAACTTTGCATCCAAGTAGATATTTAGGTGTTCGGTTTCTGGTGGACCACCCTGTATACCATCGGTATATCGATTTTCTCCGTTGGCTGAAAAAATATTTGCCCCATCACTGGACTACAGATACGCCCGGAAGGATCGCGTAAAGATTCTCTAAGAGTCGCCAGATAAGTTTCAGCCACGAGGAGACCAGAGTCTTTGGTCGTGACTTACCTACCCCGTAACCACTCAGCTGGCTCGTTGGAAACAAAACGGCGAACGATTATTCAAGTTTTGATTAAAAACGTGTACACACAAGTTCAGTGGGAAGGAGTTCTCGTGGAACGGGGAAATTGCCAAGAAGTTTTAGTGGGGGGATTTCGTGCGTTTCAACGGTACTGAGCTAATTATACACGTTTAGATGGGTAGGAAATTCTTAAATTGGAAATTTTGGAATCTTGAATCCTCGGCGCGAAGATCAACCAATAAACCGGTTGAAAATTAAACTGGACATTGAAGTGCATTATTTCTGGCATATTTTAATAAGAATTGTACGTATTAACGTTTGCTTACTACGCTAAACTAAACATATGGAATTTATAAACATTTACACTTTGCCTAATGATCTTTCACTTGTATACATATAGTCAATTACTACTTGGTTTACTTTAGTCCTAGTAATACACCGTTTTTATAACGTTTGAATGTCATGTAAAGAAGTTTCGTACTGCCGATCGTCAAGAATCGTTCCAAGAATTGCCACTAAAGTGATAAATCATTCTACTGTACAAACGCAGTAAACGGGATAACACGACGACGAATAGACTTCGTGAAATTAGAACGAATAGCCAGTAGTTGCGTGAACTTCGTAGAATTATGACACTTCACCGATATGAATGGCAAGCAGTCATTTACCTTCGGGTAACCTAATTGTTTATAGACGCGGCGAGTTTCCCGTAAACCAGTTTATCGTGGAAAATATCTAACGGGTTTCGAAGGGTACAAAACCGGGTTTAAGGAGGAGCCTTCAAGTGCGTTTGATGATAACGTATCAGTCCATTCTGCAGTCGTTTCCTGGCCCCGTAACAATTTTACGATCCTTAAATCCTCGAAAGTGCTTCCCTCGTTAGTTCACTTTCGTCAAACGTATGCTCCGATCGCGCATCGTGAACAAAGAGCACACTAGAGATCATCTATTTGTCTCTGTCGAGATGAACCTTCGCGGAGCAATGTCATCATCGTATCAATCACATAAAAAAAAAGCGCATAATGTTTTGTCTCTGTCGAGATGAACCTTCGCGGAGCAATGTCATCATCGTATCAATCACATAAAAAAAAGCGCATAATGGGGTGAACCCACTTGAATCATTGAAATCACGGAGGCTCGTGTCCTCCCGTTGAATCACCGCATCGTTCCCCAATTAGCGGGCCAGTTGAAAATTAATTTCAGCCAATTTTCGGAAGTTCCGACAATTGGAAATCGTAAAATGTCCGAGTAAATGGAGATTGCCGGGCTGGTTTAATTAAACTTTCAATTAGACCGAACGATCCCAAAGGCGCTCTTCGGTCCCCCGTTTGATGACGCGCGTAGATTATCGTTACGCGGCGATTCGAGGTGGTTGGAGTAGGAAGGGGAAGGATATTCCTAGGATCATCGATTGACGGAAGGATGACCAGGCAAAGAATAGGTCGATTTCTATGACGGAATAGGACGAATTTATTCGTCGAAGGGAATCTCACGGAAGGATAACGAGTCCGATTGAGGAATGGTTTATCGGACGTCGGAAAGTTTCTAGCTCGGGCGCTAACGAGCCGAAAGTTTGTGCGGTCTTCAAGAACACGATAACCGGATATTACTTGTCAGCCTTCAGCTGGCACAGTGAATTAAGTGTTTTCTGTGTCAGCACGAAAATGACTCGGTGAAACGCGAACAAGGAAGAGCACACACGTTCCACCTGCGTTCCACGGTTCCTTCGTTTGCTCGACGCCGTGATTTCTACCTGGACGAGGCTACCCCTGTATTCTCTGACGATATTGTTAACCCCCCTCCCCCCCTTTTCACGTGATATTCGTATTTACAGAACGGTACCGTGAATCGTTGCTTGGGTGGGATTACGAATTATATCGTGCAGTCCTGCGACGGTTTTCAGCACGATAAATTCCACGCGGCGAACCGTTTTCCTTATGCTAATAAAGAAGAAGGTGACAAATAATGTTACTCACCGGTTAGATGAAGGTGTACTTCCAGGAAAATGCTCGCCAGGATCAGCAACGTTCTCATGGTGACAATTAATTTGTAACGTCGTTATTTCAGAACGTTCATTGTAGCTGTATCTGGAACAGAGAGAAATGAAACGTGTGAGGGAATATCTCGTCGTCGGAAAAGTTTCAAATGAATCACCCCCGTTCACCAGGGATGAAAGACAGCGGAATGAGAATAGCGAAAGATTTGTTACGGGACCCGTTTGTACGAAAGGTGGATTTACGTGATCTAATCAGTTTCCATTTGTCTCTGATAAACGGTTCACGAATTAAAATTTATCGATATACTTTCGTACAACTGTAACGAAATTTATGGCAATTTTATCTGCTGATCGGATTGCTCGAATGTTAAAAACCAAAAGTAAATGCAAATTTCATTTCTTTTGTGACATCGTACAGAAACATCGGTACAATCTTCTACAAGAAGTATTATAACATGACTCTTGCCCCCTGGATACGCTATCTCAGAATTTTCTATTTCTTTTCTGTGTGCACGTTGGTGCTCGAGTCCCCTGTAATCGATACGGGTTTAAGTAGGAGGGTCGTGACCCTTGGACCCTTGCCCCGATAAAAGCTTCAAGATTTCGCTATAAGTGGCCCACCTTTGTCAAGTATTTTCGACAGGGGCCAGAAGAAAGGAAAAACGGATCGCGGAAAGTATCCATTGACAAGGAATTCCGGACGTGCTTCACCAGTCTTCCTCGGATACGAGTTCCAAACATTTTTGTCGTCGTACCAGGCTCCTCGAAACAGTACGTAACATGCTGACCTTGTTTCACAAAGAGTTAAACGTGCACTTCCTCTCCGAAATTATATTTCCAGTCAATTCATTGGCTATCGAAATGTGATTATAATAAAACGCAGAAGAAATATCTGCTCAATATTTTCGTTCTCAGAATTCACTTCAAACTATGAATCATTGAAAAATCGTCCTTTAATAATTACAAAAGCTCGTCAGTGTTCATTCATTGATGCATTTACCATATTGTTCAAGAAGCATGTCCATATTCACCAGGAGCAAAATCACAGAAATCCCTTCGAGCGTTAATCAAACGAATCGATCCTGCCTTTAACCGGCGGGTCCCTTTAAATATTTAACAGGTCGGGGGCCGATGGCGTGCCGCAACGAGTTAGACCGTTACGCCGCAGAAATTGCACGAGTTTTCTAATACTATTTACATACGGTGACCGATCGATTTCTACCAGTAAACACACCCCTGGAGCACATCGTTTCTCGATAAAGCACGCTCGAACTTAAACCGGCGGACGCACCACCCGTATCCCGTGTTTTATTCGACCGACACGGACGTGACGTTAACGGAGAGACCATAATTCTCCGACGAATTTACACTCTACTCGCGAAGAAGAAAGGAGACAAACGCTGGTTAGTCCCCGAGATTTATAGAACTCGAGGTAAAATCCCGAAAATTCATTTCGAACCGGTGCACCGGTTAAACTTTGCTTCATCGGTGAAACTTTACACAGGGAGCAGACGTTCATCGAGGAAAAATCGCGATCGAGTGTAACCTTACAACACATACGCGCGTATACAGGGTGGACCATGAAACGTGACCAGTCAATATTATTCTACTGTTAGCTGTTCGACCGTATTTTTTTTTAACTTAGTATAACACGATTCAAGGTGAGCTTTACGATGTTTGCACTAAATTTTTTGTCAACCCTTTTTTCCCAGAGTTCTAATTGGTTTAATCAATGAGATATAAATTAGCCAACAAAAGGTCTTTATTAGATATTTCATTTTCTTTTCGATTTCTTTTATATGCTTGCTCCAGGTAAGCTTTCCATCCAATAGCGGCTCCGTGTCTCGTGCGTGAAAGGAGGAGACGAGTATTCGACAGCTCTTCGGAAAATATCGTGGTGAAAAACGTAGGTTATACGTGCAACAAAATATCGTCTGGCTTATCTATGCACGGCATCATCGCGATATTTCCCCGTGAGACCATAGTATTCGCGTTCCCAATTTATATTCCATACGCTCGCTTCTCGTTCGCGTATCTGCAGCCCGATTCTGTGATCCACGAGAGAAGCTTGCACCGCAGTGTCGTTCCGCGTGTGGTCGACGAAGGAATTCTCCGATTCGTCGCTACACGACCCCGTTTGCCCCACGTGTAATAACTTCAACAACGGAAACTGTCACACGTCTTTTCAACGCGCGGAAACATTTACCATCGAGGTTTCCCACGCCTCGCGGCACCATTTTCCACGGCTCGCGATCCTTCATTCGATTAGCCGCTGTAACAAGCCCCGGCCTAAAAACGCGGTGAATTCCACGGAATCAATGAAACGGAAGCAATTTAATTGCCGTCGACGCTTTATCCCCGCGCATAATTTGCGCCATTGTAAAGGGCAGCGCGCACCCGGAACGGTATTCGAGCCGCGAATGCTGCTCGTTTAACGGGAACTTTTTTCAACGGATAAATTATTCCCGTCTGCCCCCGTATCTGTCGGCTCCACTTCTAACTGCGACGTTTTTTATTCGTTGTGCTCGTTCGCTCGTATGCTGGTTCCGCGATAATTTCGACTCACGTATACGGTTTTTCAGATTTCTCTTTCGCACCTTTCTGTTGGGGATCCAGACGTATTCAATAAATTCTCGGTGAGTGTTCGAAGACTCCTCGAGGATTTACCGTAATAACATTTTCAGAGATTTCACAATGGAGATCTTAATTTAGAAGTTCGAAAGCTTTTCCACGGCCCAAACCCCGATTTCCCGAGGTTTCACAGTGGAGATTTTAATTTTGTAATCTAAACGCAATCGTTGATCGAACTCGATTCTTCGACAATTAAAAGAACAATCGAGGCACATTCTGGAAGCCACAGGAATTTCCCCTGCTTTTTGGAACGGGTTGAGCACTCACGTCGGCGATAAATTATGATAATTTTCAGAGGGAGAAGGGTGAAACGTACGTTCAACAGACTAACAAAAACGGCACCAAACTAATTTCTTACTACGTCTCCATGAAATTCAACTGCCTCCTAGCTAAATTTCGTTCTTGAATCTAGGCAAAGCTTTTTGCAAACCCGACTGATTTTGCATATGCAATTTAACCAGGCTCGGCTGTAAATTGTGTGTACACACCGGTCTGATACGCGTGCGGATGAGGCGAAAGGTTGCCAGGACGACACACACGTTGTTCAGGATGAACCGAGGGGTGGGCTCATGGTAATGATCTCAGTCATACGGTTTCGCGGTGATAGCTACCCAACTATTTACATACTGATACGTACCATCGCCGCGGAAGTTTGTATAATCAGCTCGCCACGGAGATGAACCTAGTGGAATCCCGTGGGGGGGTCTCTGCGAAGAGTTAAAATTGTACGCGTGCGAAATATGCGAAACAAGAGAAAGAGAAGATAACGAATGGGAACGGGGCTCTGGGACAGTGTAAAGACATTAAGCCGATTTCAGGTTAAACGAGCGCGCCAACCCATCTTCTCCCCTATCCCTTCGTCTTAAACGCGGCAGCCACCCACGGATTAATACTCGTTTTACTTGCGGAATAATTTAAATGCATCCTACATTTGTATCCCTGTATCAGCATTTCTACACCGTCGTGAGCGGGCGGAACTTTGACCGGATTAGAAACTGTTACTGATTTTCGGTTTGTTCGTAAGAATTGGCGTAACTAAGTAGGGGCCAGGGTGGGCCTAAAAAAGAAAGTAATAAAATTTTGTTAATACCTCGTTAACAAATCCTGGAGAACTTTTTCGCTATGGAAAAAGTTGTTTCAAATCACCCCAGGAATCACCCCTTTCAGAGACTTACAACAATTTCGGGACACCCTGTATATATATCATACAATATGGTTATTATTATAAAGAGTATTTTCCAAGCAACTACTAAATAATTTGAAGATTGCTCCTAGAAATTGTTCCCTTCGCACTTCTTACATTAAAAATTAATAGCAACAATTCCTTTGAATTTGTTTAACTTGTTTGCTTATACGTTAAACAAAAACGGCAATAGTTACTCTGAAGTGATCAGGAACTCTACCCATAGCGTTACGGTTTTTTTTTCGTTGGAAACGCGACTTTCCAGCGGAACGAATCCCGTTCCTCTGTTTTGTTAATTCCCGACCACATATTCCTGCGTTCCTCTTTCCCGTGGGAACGATGATGCAGGGGTGCAACGCGAATGAAGTAGCCTCAATGTAAACAAACAACTTCAGGCGTTTTGGAGGCAGCTCGTCGTGTACACGTTGTTTCAGTGTTTCATGCTCGATGAAATCGTCGAAATTCGTATGTTAATGCTTATTCGAGCGAGTGGAGGAGGCTGCGTTGGGTGTCCAGCGGGTGTTCCGCCTCGTGTATCCACGGGAACGGTTCAACTTCGTGGCTGGGAACGTTTACACTTTATTGCGAATCGCGGTGAAGCGAGATTTCGTTCGGAGGAATCTACGTACGTTATTACGCGCTCGGACGTGGTGAACGTTGTGCACGGAGGTGGGAAAAAATCTTCTTCTAGCTGAGTACAGTGAAGGGAAGGGAATAACGTCGCATGCTTGGTACAGAGAAATTAGATTATAGGGATTTCCCGAAAGAGGGGCTGGTATACATCAAGGTATTAGCGAGTACGACCACAATTCATTCGGAGGTGACAAAAATATGGCGGAGATACATTATGGTCGGAGAAAAGGCGATTACAAATGCAACGTGTATCAGAATTTATATCGCGGATCTATCGTTCGCGCGAATCCCTCCCCCCTGCATGGAAATTGCCGTGCACATTTCTCGCAGGGAAGGGAATAAATAAAAGCAAGTTTGTATTAAACTCTCAGTGCTTTTGATACGCCTCGTAGGTGCATTCGAACAAATCATGGAGAAGATACTCGTCTATTCAGAATAATAATATTTACAAGTTTATTTATCATGCTGGTGTCTTGCATGACAATAATAATACAGAAAATGCCAGTAACTCGAAGTTTGAAATTCCTTTTTAATATTTACGTGTCCAACTGAAATTCAACGTCACATAAATCGTTATTATCGCAATAATAC